ATTTTCCCGAAGTAATATTTTATAATCCTCAAAGTGCGTGATTCGCACCAGTAATTCTCGCGCCTGAAATTAAAGTCCAAACGATACATTTTTAAGTTTTCTGCAACAAAATTAAGATTACACTTTCATGTAATATAATAAAAAATTGAGATTTTTTAGTAATATAATAAAAAATTGAGATTACTGCAGATTTGTTTATGCGGAGAGCAAATTTCTAGAGTTGGCTGCTCCTTTGCCGATTTTACAATTTTCATGTAGCCATGTAAGTTACGAATTAGCGTGGCAGGTTTTGCCGGCGCAATGTAATGGCAATCAGTGGTTACAGCAACGACGCAGCAACGACGAGATTAGAACACGGATATTTCCATAGACAAGTTTGAATTATTTCATACCGATGACGTGGTATAACATGTGTCACTTCGCATGGGAATAGTCATTTCTACCATGTTAAATAATCGATATAGACGCATAAAAAGCAGTTTGCAAGAGAAGAAAAGCGAACGCCCTCGGTTAACTATTAATCCGATTAATCCTTAATTTATCTATTGGATACCGTATACGCTCTTTCGACCTCTCTTTCTCTCTTTCTCTTTTTTTATTTAATTTACAATTACCAACTTTTATGTTGCTGAAATCGAGCATGAGTTTCATATTAAATAAAAGAACAAACTTCAGAGCGAACGGCAAACATTTAGCTAAATGCACGACGAGAATACCGGTCTGTGCATTTTTCCCTCCTCCCCGCTTTGGCCGAGAGATCGGGGCCTCCATACAATCGGCGTTTTTACGAGCGAAGCGATCCACAATGTAACCGGTTGTTGCGACGATAAAACGCAGTCGAACGACAGGATCGCAACATTTTACTGCCGCTGACGGCAGCCCAATTACGATCAATTTAACTGCGCGGAGAGTTTCTTTCTGGCTGATCTACGCCGCGTGCGGACGCTAACTCGCGTCATACTTTAAAAACGCCAGTGAAACGGATCAGTAAAGCCGATCGATTCACTTTGCTCGAGTGCTGAATCTCGTTTGGGATATCAATACAAAAATTTTCGTCTTGGAGTTTAAGAGCGCATGTACTTGCCGACCGAAAATGCTACAAGCTCATGTGAACGGAATTCGCGCGGTAAATTTTATTTGTAAATAAATTGGGGCAATAAAAAGTGAAATAAAATTATAGTATTTTTTTCCTGATCGCTCGTTAACGAATAAAGAAACTCGTTGATAACGTTCAGACGTTAATCCTGAGTTTCTCTGAGACATTACCGTAGCTGTATCTAGCCTGCGAGTGAGCCACCTTGAAACGGTGTATCGTCGAATCGCGTGTCCGCGAGTACACGGCAGCGAGCTCGCAATTTCGAGTCATTTAGATTTCCAGAAGTACCGCAATTCTATTGCTGACTGCCGGTTGTCGCCGCCACTTTTTTTATCGCAGAACAAAAGCTCTTGTGAATAATCGCGCGTTTGTCGTGCTCGCGACGAGGGGTGAGATTTCTACAAATAGATTGACGTCGTGACATAAAATGATTAACGAAAATGCTGTTTTGTCTCCTTGTCCTTGTCTCTTTTTAATAATCTCGAAAGATATGCTTAAAGATATGCGGATATGCTTAATCTAACGCTTTGAATTACGTATAAACGTCACAAACTGAGTTAGAGAGTCTGATCTATCCATTGAAGTCCATTTTTGATGAAATAAACGTAAGCGATCACCAATCGAGATAACGATAAAAAAGCAGTCGCATATCTCATATTTAATTTTTTAAAATACCTTACAAAAACATTGATTAAATATTCTTCACTTTTCCCTCAGTTTCGGTAATCAATTCGATGATAATACGGAAGCGGTTCTTGCAAATTTGCCAAAGTTACGATTTAGACATGTGTACCGACGCGCGCGTGCTTGTCTCTCTCCTTCCCTTTGCACCCCGAATTAATACGCGCTCTTTTCCCTCGCGCTTGATCGCGTCATTCGAGACGGCGCGCGTTCGCCGTCACGCGGAACGTGCCGAAAAGACGCGCGAACGGAACGGTTCGGAACTGGTTCAACGAAGTCGGTCGTTCCCGGCGGTGCGCGCACGATGAACAATGCGAACTTCTGAAGAGGGATAGGACGAACGAGTGAGGGAGGAAAAGGAGGAGTAGGAGGAGGAGGAGGAGGAGGAGAAGGAAGAGGAGGAGGAGGAGGAAGAGGAGGAGGAGGAAGAGGAGCAGGAGAAGAAGAGGAGGAAAGAGACGACGGCGGAGGCAGGAGTCGCGCGGAGCACGTGAAAGACGATTTAAAGGGAAAAAGGAGGAGATGACCGATAGAAAAGGAACGCGCAAGGGAAAAGGAGGGAGTGAGGGAGAGAGAGAAATATTAGATAGAGGGGAGGAAGGAGCATGGCGAACCGGTCACAGCCTCCGCTCGTCAGCTGGAAGCTCAGCTGCAGCCGGGCGCGGTGACCTCGACGTTGCAACGCGGTGGCGGTGGCGGTGCTTCACGGAAAAGCGAGTCGATTCGCGAGCGATAACGGTGCCGCGACAGCATCGTCCTCGTTGCTCTTCCCCTGCACGAAATCCCTACGCCCTCCAGGAGACCTCCACGAGAAGGATATTCGCGACGTGATGCGCTTTTGGATCGGATGTGATCGCTGATCTTTAGACTATGACAGCGGAACACTATCGCGTTTGATTCGAAAGATGATCTCGACGCAAATTTGCACTGCAAATTATGAATTATATAATACGTTTTTATAAGTATAACTAAAAAATTTTTTATGATCCTTTACTTAAAAAACTCACAGTGATTCTCTTCAACATTCAATATATCTTTATAATTTATTCGAATTAAAATTCTATTAAGTATTTGAAATAAAGTAAAGAATATACAATGATACAATTGTTTCTACTATGGATAGCTCGCGCGAAACTTCTCGAGTTGAATGGTTTATGCAGTGACGCGAGATATCCTGCATAATTAAATCTTATAATAAGGATCCAGAATTAAATTTGCGCAATATATGGCGTCGTTCTCGACAATGCCTCTCAAGAGTAGCATAAAGACGAGTTACTTCAGAATGAACGACATTACACGAGATTACTTTGGTCCTCGGCGAATTATTTTCTCTTATTCTCAAGCGAGAGATTCATAATGAGATTTCATGATTAGAACGCGCTATCTGGTAGACGAGCGATGAATATATTTTTTACATTACCACGTCAACACACGGTTATTCTGGTCCTTCGCGACTAAATTCGCGACTTGCTTTTGTTCGATGGCTGAACTTATACGAATGATGAATGAATGCTCCCACCTGTGCAATCATGCGCACCACGTAACACCGATTCACGTACTTTAAGCAGACTATTTAATGGAGTACCTTTTCGCAAGTATCAAAGAAAGTTAAAACGAAGTAAATGAGCTTATATATTCTCCATAATTCTATTTTGCAAGTCAAATTTTTCAATATGTAAAATTGAATGTCGTAGCGAATGATTATAAGTCATCATAATTAGTGGATATTTAATACATTATTAGTTATTGTAAAATTCTAACATATAAGAAAACACACACATTCTCTCTCTCTCTCTCTCTCTCTCTCTCTCTCTCTCTCTCTCTCTCTCCGTCTCTTATATCGGTTATGTTCCAAAACTTATTGTCAGTGCTGATAATGTGTAGTATACATTACATGAATTATGTTTTCAGTACTAACAATGAATTTTGAAACACAGCCATCGTTATTTTTCTATTATTCCTGCTTGTTAAAATATATATCTGAATAAAGATTTTGCCTTAATAAATATGCGGGAGAAACGATCTTCGAAATGATTTTTGAAATAATCAAAAAGATGCTAATTCTCTCGCAATTGTCATTTCCGAAAGATATCAATCAGTTTACTATTCAACGTGACATCGTCGACGGTGCACGTCGTCGAGGTCAGCATTGGGAATCGACGCGTCGCGAGAATCTTGCGAGGTGAAATCGCCGATGCACAAAGTGTCACGTACTCGTATAAGAAGGCGAAGAGAGTCATTCTAGATCTTGATATGAGCGTAAAATATGTATGATCGAAATAACAAATATAACTCACATATATCTTATTTAAATTTTAACTATCACCTCATGGAAAGCCGATATTAATGTAATGAGAACAAAACAATTAACATTCGCATTTGTAAAAATTAGTCGAAATTAATTTAATCCCAATTTCTTTTTCCTTTTCGATCATACAGATTTTTGAGAAGAGTAATTTATCCACGTTTTAATTATGTCAAATTTTTGTGATAATGTTAGAATCACAAATGTTGAAAAAAAAAAAGGTTCGACATTTTGATGTTAAAAATTAAAAACTCGATTCTTATGCAGTAATCACCAGGTAATTACAACGGCGTTGAAATTACAAGTATTTATCCTAATGACAATAATTATCCTAGAGAAGAAGTTTAATCGTTGTAGAACGAGTTTTGCAATTTTAAATCACCGAGGAAGCAGACGCGAGTGGAGTTCTGGTGACGACAATTTCACCGACGAGAACAAAGGGATAAGATTTTCAGAAGTGACCGAAAGTGATCTGACGCGCCTTGCGAAAGATTTTAATCGAATAACTATGCCTCGAATATCCAAAAACAGCAGTCAAAACAATTGTCAATCCGACGTTGAGCCGACGCGAGTCGATTCGTCAGAGGATGCGAGAGCGTTCGATTCCGCCGACCTCGGTTAGCGCTAACCCTAGTTTAACCGAACCCTCCTACCCCTCCCCGATCCTTCCGTAGGAGCCTTCGATAGGAGCGGGGTAATCGGAGCGGGGTCACGTCGTCGTAATCGTAAACCGAATTTTCCTGTATCACGTAAATTACACGCGGTCACGTAATTCGCGGAAAGACAGTACGCGAATCCCAGAATTAGCGCTCTAGGATTAACCGAGGTTGTCATTGTCAGCGACGAAGTACAGCGATCGCGAACGAGCGCTACATCATGTTCGCGGAATCGACTTCGGTAGCAGCGAACCGGTCTGTCGGTGCATCAGCTGAGAGCCCAGCTGAACCCAGAGAGAGAGAGCGACCGCGCTGTAATAACCTCAACCTGTCTCCCTCTTTCTCTCTCTCACGGCGCGGTACACACACACACACACACACACACACACACACACACACACACACACACACACACACACACACACACACACACACACACACACCACCCACAGCGCACATACACAGACGCACACACAAAGTACACAGAGCACACATTTGCGATGAATTTCGTAAAAGGCACCATCGGACACATTTAGATACGGTACCTGGTCTGTCCGGACGACGCCTGGTGACACGACGATGAGTATCCGCGAAGGCTCACCGGCGGCTTCCGCGAAACTTTTCGAAAGCCCACTCTCACAATGGAATCTTCCAGTAGACTGGCCGAGCCGGCGGCGGCGAGCGGAGCGAGCCGTTCTCCCTTGCGTGCGCACCCACCGTGCGCGGCAGCCGTTCGGCTTTTTCGACGGGGGAAAAAAGACGCGGTTTCGTAACACGTACAACCGGTGACACTGACGGGGCGCGTCCGCGTAACCGGCACGAGCACGCTGCGCGTCACCGGCACAGGCACGTATACTCGCAACACGAGAAACACCAACCACGGTACGTGACGCGCGCGCGGCCACCGCTGATGACAGTTCGGGCTCGGCGAGCTGTCACTCCGCGAGAGCGGCACGGCAGCGGCCTGTCCCTCTGTTCGTGTCGCTGCCGCCATCTGCCGTCGTCGTACGCGAAACCATACGACCGATCGAAACGTTACTTTTGGAGCGGCGGTAGCATTCGCGCGCTTAGTAACGTGCTCTGAAATTGAAAGATTGTATCCATTGTATCCATTTCTACCAGTATATGTATATAATTCGGTCTTAATCGAATTTAGATATTTTCCACTTCTTCCTAATTTTTAGAATCAAAAGAAGGTTAAAATAATTTAAATTAAAATTAATTAATCTATATTAATAGAAATGGACACAGAGTCGCTGAAAATTACACTCTATAAATGAGAAAATGATTTTGCACATATAAAATATTTGTTTATACATTTAAAGAAATGATTATTTGATAATTGTATTGTCTACATTGTTTAGAGATTTCGTATTTTTAATTGCAACTATAATGCAAAATAATCAATCGTAATTAAGGAGGTACGATCAAAAAATCAAAAAATGCTTCAATGTGTTTGAAAATTATATTATATTGAAAATAATAGTTATTTTCAATATTTGACTGCGCGCAATTTGATCAGGAATGTCATCCTTATTTTTAAAATGCAATGTTACCAAGTTATAATCATTGAATATGAAATTATTTTCTAATAATAGAATATTACAATCAGAAATTATTTTCTAATAATATAATATTACAATCAGAAATTAAGAATTGATGCGCAATATTATCTTTTTATTCTACTAAAATAATAAAGTAGCCTTGCTTATTATTAAAAGATTTTCATATATCAATCAGTATTAGTTGGTTTTGTTAATGCATAGAGACATTCCCTTTTCGCCACTCGCCTCCACGAATGATCGATTGTATCTCCTTAATTACAATCGCATATTTCATTTAATTCTCCCTATCCCTCAATCACGCTGTATGAAAAATCTATTGTATGATAATACTGTAGTTTCATTTCTTAATGGAATTGTCACTTTGCTGACGCTATATACCAAATGTACCGTCATATATCGAATATATTTTATTCAGTAATGCATTTTTTATTAAGCGCACAGTAAAATTACAAGAACTCGATTTTCCAATATTACACAAATTACATTTTCAGTCTCTCGAGAAAGAATGTAAGATCATATTTGAATATCTTTGGCATCAAAATCCCGACTCACCGCAACTGTACCAGTCTTCAGACTCTTGATGCAATGTTGTTTCGGTCGTTGATCACAAAAAACTACAACAATCGATATACTCTGACACTTATCCGTCACTTAAATCGGCACTCCCGAGAAAAACACGCGTTGTTATACATTCTTAATAGATAAAATTCGATTTAATCACGGAGCGATCGTATGCTTTCGAATCGATTCGACGCACTGAAAAAACTGTCATGGCGGTTAAATGTGGCGAGCGATGCACCACATTGAAATGTTTGAATATTGAGACAACTTAAAATTGCAAACAATCAAAATTAGCAGTGAGAATGTATCCGTGATTAATTACAATAACGGTGTCTTTTTGTATAAAAGTTTGTATAAAAGAAGAGTTACATGAAAACTCACATAAAAAGGACACAAACAAAAAGCGGGAAAAAACATTCAAATAAATAAATAGTAAATTGATTGGCTTGTTAATAGATAACTGTAACTTCAATTTGAAGTCTAAGAGGTGAATGTATATGCACAGAGAGAATGATTTCTTTGGATTTAATAAATTTTATTAAATTCAAAAAAAATTTATTTTTTGAAATAGTTCAAACAAAACAATTATTAATTCAAATTTGGCCAAATTATCCGGTTTTTCAAATAATAAATAGCTTTATTTTAAATAAAATATTTGTTTCATGAATTGTTTGAAAAATAATAACATTCTTTATTATATGCTTTAACAATATGAAAAAATCTCTTTCTTTCATATTTAAACAATATTTAATCTAACTAAAGCATTTAGCTCAATTATTTAGCTCAAAAATAAATTTTATTTTCTTTAAATAATGGTGTTTTTTTTTTAAATATATGATAAATTCTAACAATCGAAACAACAAAACTTTTAATTCAACAAAATAAATTTTAATATATAAATAAATTCAAATAGAATTGCTAAATTTAAAGAAATATTTTCCTCAGTGTGCGATATATAAACGATTTTCTTTTCAAACAGTTTCTTTCAATTAAATTCATCGTGCATTATTCACATTCAAAAATTTTCTTGCGGTGCGTCCACTCAACTACTATAACAATTTCTACGATCGTTGAGGCCTTTGCACATAATAAATTTTTAATTGTAAAATCCGTAAAAAAAGTAACACGATCAATTATTTTTTAACAGCAAGAAGAATAATCAATTTTAATTGGTCAATTTATTTAGAGATTTGCAATTACAATTAAAAATTTGTTACGTATAAAAGCCTTTCCGAAAGCGAGTCTTTAATGATTAATCGCGAATTTTATTTGTTCAATTTCATAGCGATATATATTTTTCTTGTCAATTAAAGAACGTAATGAACGAGTACCAGAACACATCGGTGCGAAAGATGCTGCTTCGTGGACCGGAATCGATATCCCGAGGCTTTTGAAAGTGGATACAGCTGTGATAAGTACAGACTCCGATGCCAAAGATGTTTGTATATAATCCTTATATTCTTTCTCGAGAGATTAAAAATATAATTAGAGTACTTATCGATAGGCGTAACATGGGAAATCCTCGTAATCATAACTTAATAAAAAATCCGCCACAAAATGCAATATATTCTATATATAACGATATATCTTGTGTATGCGTGCAAAAGATAGAATAATTACGTATTTAACATGGTACTACGCAGCATGTGTAATAGCAACTATTACACGACATAGCATTACATGCGAGAGAATCGTTAGAATCTTAATATATTCGCTCTAGATTTTCTTCGTGTAAGAAAGAGCTTATCTAAATTTTTTATTTATTTATTTAAAACACCGAGCATTAATTGTATCAATTTTTCTCAATTTTCAAGAAAGATTTCAAAAAATAATGAAACTTATATATATGTAATTAATATAAGCTGTTAATTACATTTTATTTAGAGGGATTATTACATGAATTAAAAATATGAATACGACCCCATGATTTAAATAAATCAATGTTTTGTTAACATTTTATTATAACAACTTGGTTTATTTCGTACAAAAAAAGGAACGTTTCGAAATGTTCACAATGTTCAACAACTTTTTGCCTCTCAAATGCATATGTTCCCATTGCACAGTTCCGTTCAATAAATAATATCATTTCTCATTTTACTCTCGATAATCCGTTCTCTCACAGTTTTCTTACGTATTCGACAGATGTATATTTGTTTCCTTAAAGTAACACGCATTTCCCATTGACCGGTCGATCAATATCTTTATGGATGTGACATCTTACTTCAATCGTAAGATTGATAGAACGCATAAATTTGTGATGTCTAGATTAATATTAATCGAAACGCGTGCAACCATTAGAATTCAATTTAAGAATTGTAATATATTCGTGGATACTATCGAGAAGTTATAACGGTATTGAATTAGAACCTGATGGAATATTTCTACGGCTGTTGACAATTTGCGTAGTGTTGTGCCATGATAACGACGACGACTGCAACGACAAGAGGACGCTTCTAGTTTCTTCAGTTATTGTAATCGCTTCTTGAGTCTTTGTGCAATAGCTGAGACAAGTGCGGCACCCTTGCCACTTCCATCTTCGGCGTGGATTAATTTAAACTGTATTCAAAATAAATATATTATTAAACAAAAAATACTTTAAAGACGATAGAACTCAAAGCACGTTGTAAAAAAATGATTTATTTTGTTACTTATTTTTATAAACAGAAACAAGTTAAATTGAATTTAGATTTCTCTTTAGATAGATTTCTATAAACATAGAACTTCTTTTTCATATCAAAGTTTTACTGCATGATGTAATGCATTAGATATTTCTTCTTATCTGGCAGCTTTACAATTTATAATTAATATCTATTTTAATATTTATACGTGCCTTTCGTCCTGGAGCGAGAAGCGAGATGTATTGCTTCATCCAACCTTCTAATCGAGGATGATGCTTATAGAGAGATCCATCAACGGCAATCGTTATTCGTTCTTTATCGATACGATCAAGCAAAGTTGCAAGACCTTGAACAGAAATCATTGATGAAATTATGTTATGTGTTCGTTTTATAAACGTTATTTAAATTAACTTTTTTAATAAACATACATATCGAAACTAGAAGTGCTGCGCGATTAGAGGCGACCTCGCACACATATTGAACGATTCTGATGTCATCTTCATCTGGAATGATGCCGAATTTTCCAAGGATCTCCTTCGTATTGCTGTCATCGCCATCCACTGAGTCTCTGGAGTTGAGAAATTAAAATTAAGCGCCTGCACAACTTTACAGATTAAACGATCGATTTGAATGAACTTACTGCTCGATGTGCGACACCAGATCGGTTGTAAGACTGCCGGGTGTTAACAGACTCTCTGATGTAGATTCTCCTACAAACAAAAGCCCCTCTTTGGTCAACCTCGCAAGTATCACGCGTACCACTTCACCAAGATATTTGCCAGCAATGTATTTTTCAAATCTAAGAAGAAAAAAAGTCAATGACGTACAATGATATACAAAGGCCTTTTTTTATCGAACGAATCATCATGTCCCAGCTAATCTCACCTTTAACAAAATTTTTATAAAGTAATTTGCATATTTTTCAGAATTTTTTAGTTATATCACATACAATTTAAAAAACAGAAATTCACTTAACTTAACTTACTTTACTTTACTTAACTTACTTTATTTAACAGAAATTTATTTAATTGTTTAGAATATTATTTAATGGAAATGTTAATTATATTATCTGTTAATTAATCAAATTAAATATCCGAAATTTTAATTTTTTCATATAAATAGAGACAAATTGATTATATGATATTATCAGAAACAAAATCCATTTTTTTCAAACAAAATAATTACAACGTAATTAAAAAGATAATGCAATGAGTTTGTTCACTTACGTAAATGAATTCACGATAAGAGAATTTGCGTCATTCTCGCGATCAAAATCCGTCTTGATGAAGTCCAAGACACCGTTATCGCCGAAGGCGCCCCATTCGATATCAATGATAACCTGAAGCAACAAATCAGATCAATAACTTATGGTTGTTTTCACATTAAATCTATCAAGAGAAAGTATACAAAATTGTTAAGTAATAAAAAAATTATCAAGTATAAGTACAGATTGGTTTGAGAAAATGATGATGATAAAAGTGGTATACATTACTTATTTCTTTTTACATTATGATCGGAAACTTACTTCTCTCTCACCATGCCTCTCCGTCTCCCAATGCTCGACCCGATCTGCACGTTCCAAGTAACAAGCGTTACTGCCAGTTCCCAGGATAAGTCCGATCGCTGTATCAGGATCCAGCGTCGATCCTTGCACCAAAGTACCTGTAGTATCGTTCAAAACGGCTACAACCTTTACCTTCGTATCGCCTCGTCGATCCAAAGCCTCTCGCAGAAGCCTCACAGCGTCCTTATTTACAGCATCGGAACAGTTAAAAGTTTTAGTCCATGTCACCAGAATACCGACGTCCAGTGAGTGTTGAACCATCGGGAACGAGAAGGTAAAACCTGCGTAAATATACTTCGTCAAGGTTGGAAATGGAGGAACATACGGAAATTATCGGACGTAGATAGTTATGCTAATAGAGCTGGTTACATTAATAATATCTTTCTGCCGGTTTTCTATGACAAACGAAAATGCTTTCTGCAATATCCAGTCACGAGGCCGCTATTTATAGACGATACCGTATGGCAATTTGCGTTAATTGGAGATTTTGCGCGTTCGATATTGGATGCACACAATTTACCGAGAGGAAGCTCCACGTCCTGAAGACCCTGAGAAATGACGAAATCACTGACACACTCAGCCAAATAGTCAAATAGAGGGATTGCTGAGCCGACTCTTAATTCCGAACTGATGTAATATCGCTTCACCTCTTGTCGTACAGGAGCACCATGGGCCAGTTCCAACAGGAGTACGCGAAAATTAGTGCCGCCGAGATCGAGTGCCAAGTAGAGACCTTCTTCTACAAGCACAACATAAATATTTTGTCTGTTATTTTTAAGTCGGAATACCATACATCTTTGTCTTCTCTCCCTATTGTTTCAATTCTTAACTGTCTGGTGAAATAAAGCATTTTTTATTATTTATTTGAAATCATTTTCTTATATAAATGAAATTGTAGAATATATTCTTATTCTTACCATTTTAAAATACATATACAATAGAGATACTCAAAGATTAAAAGTAATTTTTAGAAAGAACTTTGCATAAACTTTTAATTTAATTTTTAATTTTAATAAAATATTTTGAGAGTATTGTCTAACATCAAAAAATTATCTGAGAAGCATAGAGGGATTGATATCTAATTGTTAATATAAAATACTTTGCGTGTTTTCGAGGAAAGAACATTAAATATATATGTCTTATCTTTTTTATTATTAACTTCAACTTAGATAGTAATAAATATAATAAAGAGCGATATGCGTTATCATTAACGATTAAGTATAGAAACTTTGTTAACGACCTGTTCCATCGAGTAGTTCCGGTATATAGGTATTCTCCATCTGTAGCGAGGACGGTTGCTGATGAATTCCCTTGTTCATTTCCGAAATGAAAACATCTTGTATCTTCCTGATTGTCGCTACGGAGAATCGCATCTTCGCTACATGATTTTCAATCTGCGAACAGTTTTTCCTCTTTGAAAAACATGTTGCATATATGTCACGTATTTACAGATCTTCATGGCAATCATCGTCGCGAAAAGAAAAATTTTCCTCGATCCATAAATCCTATCGAGAGCTCAGTAATATTTCCGACAAAGCTTCGAATATACGATATTGTTTACATTTAACGTTTATATTACGCAATTTCTAATAAGAATCTAAACTGATACACAATCAGACTCACGCCGCACGTGCAGCATAAAGTGACATACTCTGAATTAATTACACCTAAAGCAATAAATAAAATTTATACATACACATTCGAAAATAATATCATATATATCATTGTTTAAAGATTTTTCTCTGAGCTAACAAATTGCTATCTCTTAATCACGTCATAACATACAAGAACAACTACCTATTATTATGTACGAGTAATATAAAAAACTATAATAAATTTACACAAATTATCTTTCTCATGAATTAATAGCTTTTCGAAAGGAAACATTTTATTTAGAATACTATGCACTCTTATAGCATTACAAAATATACCTTTTGTTTATCAAAGCAAATCGATATCAAAGAAATACTAAGTTCAATTATGATAATAATGAACGTATAAGTACAATTTACAAGATGAAAGAAAGTTGTTGCATAAAAATACGCACGTAAATAAGATATCAGCAAACTGTGATATAAAATTAAACCCCGATATATGAATGAAAAATGAATAGAAACGCAGAATACATAGAAATATATGATTAATACGCAAAAAATAAAAATTATCTAGATTAAAACCGTGACTAATAAGACACAATAAAAATGGCAGCGGAGAAGCAAGAGGAGAAAAAGAGAGAAAGAAAGAAAATATAATGCTAGATATAATATAGCGTTGAAATATATGACAGTGATATAAGAGAAGGCAGTGCAATATTTAATGTGATGATATAGAGAGTCGAAGAGTTTCAAGATAGTGAGTATCTGAAATAAAACTAAAATGATATATGTAAGGAAGAATATCAAAAAAGAAAAAAGTTGTAAACAAGGTAGAATAAACAACAAGTAAAGAATAAATTGCTGGTTTTTAAGTCACCAAAGCGCTGGTTGTTAAAAGAAGATATATTAAACTTATGATTACGATTAAACGATTGCTGAATTAGCCAGACAGAGCATCAACATGATCAAAAAGGAGGAAATAATAAATATTATATATATTTATTTGCATTCGTGATTCTTGCAATTTTTTTTATAGTCAGAAAATGGATATTTATTTGAGAGATAACAGTTTTTAAGCATTTATAAAAATAATTCTTATAAATATATTAACGTGTGCATCAAATTTTTACTTTTATTATTTTTATTATTTAATATAATGTTATTAGGAAACTGCTAGTCTTTAAAATTATTGCTTCTTAACTTTATTTTTAACTTTATTATATTGGAAAAATAAATGATTTTTATACAAATTATTTCATAAATGTGTAAACTTGAAAATATATATGGTCGATAATATATAAGTAAGATAATATATAAGATAATATAACAGTCAAATCAGCTTATTTCTCTGAACCAATAACGGTTAAAGAGTCACGTTATTATCTATAACCGATAAATTGTTTATATGTCTTGAACTTTTAACAACATGGGATTACTTCTCGATAACCCTATAACTTAGAGAATAAGATAAAAGCTGTGAAACTATGGCAACATTGAAATCCGATTTAATCCACTTTAGTCTGGACTATATTCTGAGTTAAAGCACACATAATTATAAATAAAGAAGATTATAAATAATAGCAATTTTTTATCGAATATAAATATTGTACGTTATATCGTATTGTACGTTCATGTTTTGAATGCAATATAATTAGAAAAATGTTGTAAAAGAAAATTACGATAATCACGTTTATTAAATTTTATTCAATCCAACGTGAAAGATAATATCTATTAAAAACAATTATTTGTAATTTCCGTATATTGTGTAAATATTACATAATCTTATATCTCAATTATCGAAAAAATGTGTGTAAATGTATGTAATTAAATAGTCCCGTTTTTTTTTCGATCAATATTAAAAAATTAAAAATTTAATAATATCTCAAAGAAATTTATACATTTAATAAATTTTAGCCAAAAAATTCTTTAAATATTTAATTAAGTTATTTTAGATCCATTTTGTTATATATTTATGAATTTCATTCAGATTTAAATTTATTATAGATTAGAAAATCTAGATTGTACTATTTATGTGTTTTATGTGTGTGTGTGTGTGTGTGTGTGTGTGTGTGTGTGTGTGTGTGTGTGTTATTATT